GACACTGAACGCAAGAGAAAGAGGAAAGGAAAATCCCACATGTGGTTTGTCTTACCTGACTCGGATCGGTGGCAAATTTCTCGGCGTTGTTGCTGTTGTTATTGGTATTATTTCCTTCATGTCGATATGTGCTTGTTGCGGAATTGTACGCCGCAGTTGTCGCGGCAGCAGCAGCAGCGGCAGCGGCGGCAGCAGGGGAAAAATGTGCCGGACCAAGCCAAGCTTCCGGACGAAGCATGTGATCTGATAGATTCGGAATCAAATTGAACAGATTGGAGCTGTATAGGGATTGTGTTCCCGGTTGTCCCGAGCCAGGATGTGACTGAGCCGTTAACAGTCCGGGAACCGCGTGCAGAGCAAATGTGGCATTGGGGTCACCCAAGTGACAAATCGCTTTTGCTGATAACAAACTGGGCGATTCCGGGTTGGTCTGGATGACATGAACCATGACGAGTTGCGGACCGTGAAAAACGGTAAACAGGATTTAGAAAAAAATACAAACACAGATGTGTGTGTGGGAACAAACTGTTGAATTCGATTTGTGATTTCGTTGCAAAGTTTGAATCCGGGAAATGCGAGTGAATTCAGGAAAACCAAAACAGCTGATCGCGTTCACGAATGACACCTTTTAGCACGCATTGTTACACACAAGATCCATAGTCCTGAAAGAAGATCGGGTGTTATCCAGTGTGTTCACTTCTGATGACTATAGGTGTGTGTGTGTGTGTGTATGTGAGCGTGTGCAGGTGTTTGTATATGTTTGTATTCACTTTAGTCTGTTTGTGTGCACTCGTGTGCTTTCGGGTTTCCGGTGTTGTGCCCCAGATTAGGCGTAACCTTTTGACTCAAAACTGCATGTCAGTTTATAGCTGCCTCCAGTCAGCACCAATGTTGCAGAATCTGAGACAGGATTTGCTACGTTAATTCTGTCCTATCATAGTGAGATGCAATGCTCTCACTCAGCTCACCACCGGTAGTGTATGACCAATGGCAAAGCCGGACTTCACTTGTTCTGGTCACGCTCTATTCGAGGTCCGTTTGTGTTTGCTTACTTGACTGCGGGTGTGTGTGTGTATGAATGCCCTCGTTTAAGTACGTGACAAGATCTCTCTCTCCTGACCGATCTACTACTACTAGACTACTGCTACTGTTGGTCTTGTTGGCATGCCGTCTTGTGTGGTGGTTCGTGTGTGCGTGTGTGTGTGTGTGGCTGTCGGCGACCCTGTACGGTGATTTGGACTGGTTGTTAGTCGGACAGGCTTGATGACGTGCAAAGAACGTACGTGCTTTCTTCTATCGCAGAATGTGTGAGAACATCAAACCGTTTGTGTGTGTGTGTGTGTGTGTGTGTACGTGCGTGCGTGCGTGCGTGCGTGCATGCGCACCGGTGAAAGCTTGCCTGACGTAAAACACGTGCAACAACGACGGTGATGACGATGAGGAGGAATCAGTTATGTTGCACCATCACCCATCCCCTTTCCATTTCTTCTTGCATCCTTCTCTCTACTGATCTATATACACGGTCCTTTTTATGCCTTATACACCCCGGGTGATATATGCCATCGGCAAAACACCAGTGATGGAAAACCGGTACGGCACGCATTGATCTCG